TGAAAAGAATTGAGGACAGTCTCAGAAACCATTGGGACAACATTAAACGCACCAACATTCGAATTATAGGGGTCCCAGAAGAAGAACAGAAAATGAAAGGGACGGAGAAAATATTTGAAGAGATTACAGTTGAAAACTTCCCTAATATGGGAAAGCAAATAGTTACTCAAGTCCAGGAAGCACAGAGAGTCCCATACAGGATAAATCCAAGGAGAAACACACCAAGGCACATATTAATCAAACTATCAAAAATTAAATACACAGAAAAATATTAAAAGCAGCAAGGGAAGAACAACAAATAACACACAAGGGAATCCCCATAAGGTTAACAGCTGATCTTTCAACAGAAACTCTACAAGCCAGAAGGGACTGGCAGGACATATTTAAAGTGATGAAGGAGAAAAACCTACAACCAAGATTACTCTACCCAGCAAGGATCTCATTCAGATTTGACGGAGAAATTAAAACCTTTACAGACAAACAAAAGCTAAGAGAATTCAGCACCACCAAACCAGCTCTACAACAAATGAGAAGGAACTTCTCTAGGCAGGAAACACAAGAGGAGGAAAAGACCTACAATAACAAACCCAAAACAATTAAGAAAATGGTGATAGGAACATACATATCGATAATTACCTTAAATGTAAATGGACTAAATGCTCCCACCAAAAGACACAGACTGGCTGAATGGATACAAAAACAAGACCTGTATATATGCTGTCTACAAGAGACCCACTTCAGACCTAGGGACACATACAGACTGAAAGTGATGGAAAAAGATATTCCATGCAAATGGAAATCAAAAGAAAGTTGGAGTAGCAATTCTCATATCACACAAAATAGACTTTAAAACAAAGAATATTAAAAAGGCAAAGAAGGACACTACATAATGATCAAGGGATCGATCCAAGAAGAAGATATAACAATTGTAGATATTTATGCACCCAACATAGGAGCACCTCGATACACGAGGCAAATACTAACAGCCATAAAAGGGGAAATCGACAGTAACACAGTCAGAGTAGGGGACTTTAACATCCCACTTTCACCAATGGACAGATCATCCAAAATGAAAATAAATAAGGAAACACAAGCTTTAAATGATACATTAAACAAGATGGACTTAACTGGTATTTATAGGACATTCCATCCAAAAACAACAGAATACACATTCTTCTCAAGTGCTCATGGAACATTCTCCAGGATAGATCATATCTTGGGTCACAAATCAAGCCTTGGTAAATTTAAGAAAACTGAAATCGTATCAAGTATCTTTTCCGACCACAACGCTATGAGACTAGAGATCAGGAAAAAATCGGTAAAAAATACAAACACATGGAGGCTAAACCATACACTACTTAATAACCAAGAGATCACTGAAGAAATCAAAGAGGAAATCAAAAAATACCTAGAAACAAATGACAATGAAAACACGACAACCCAAAACCTATGGGATGCAGCAAAAGCAGTTCTAAGAGGGAAGTTTAGAGCAATAGAATCCTACATCAAGAAACAAGAAACATCTCATATAAACAACCTAACCTTACACCTAAAGCAATTAGAGAAAGAAGAACAAAAGAACCCCAAAGTTAGCAGAAGGAAAGAAATCATAAAGATCAGTTCAGAAATAAATGAAAAAGAAATGAAGGAAACGATAGCAAAGATCAATAAAAATAAAAGCTGGTTCTTTGAGAAGATAAACAAAATTGATAAACCACTAGCCAGACTCATCAGGAAAAAAAGGGAGAAGACTCAAATCAATGGAATTAGAAATGAAAATGGAGAAGTAACAACTGACACTGCAGAAATACACAGGATCATGAGAGATTACTAAAGCAACTATATGCCAATAAAATGGACAACCTGGAAGAAATGGACCAATTCTTAGAAATGCACAACCTTCCAAGACTGAACCAGGAAGAAACAGAAAATATGAACAGACCAATCACAAGCACTAAAACTGTGATTAAAAATCTTCCAGCAAACAAAAGCCCAGGATCAGATGGCTTCACAGGCGACTTCTATCAAACATTTAGAGAAGAGCTAACACCCATCCTTCTCAAACTCTTCCAAAATAGAGCAGAGGGAGGAACACTCCCAAACTCATTCTACGAGGCCACCATCACTCTGATACCAAAACCAGACAAAGATGTCACAAACAAAGAAAACTACAGGCCAATATCACTGATGAACAAAGATGCAAAAATCCTCAACAAAATATTAGCAAACAGAATCCAACAGCACATTAAAAGGATCACACACCATGATCAAGTGGGGTTTATCCCAGGAATGCAAGGATTCTTCAATATACGCAAATCAATCAATGTGATACACCATATTAACAAATTGAAGAAGAAAAACCATATGATCATCTCAATAGATGCAGAAAAAGCTTTTGACAAAATTCAACACCCATTTATGATAAAAACCCTCCAGAAAGCAGGCAGAGAGGGAACCTACCTCGACATAATAAAGGCCATATATCACAAACCCACAGCCAACATTGTTCTCAATGGTGAAAAACTGAAACCATTGCCTATAAGATCAGGAACAAGACAAGGTTGTCCACTCTCACCACTATTATTCAACATAGTTCTGGAAGTTTTAGCCACAGCAATCAGAGAAGAAAAAGAAATAAAAGGAATCCAAATCGGAAAAGAAGAAGTAAAGCTGTCACTGTTTGCAGATGACATGGTACTATACACAGAGAATCCTAAACATGCCACCAGAAAACTACTAGAGCTAATCAATGAATTTGGTAAAGTAGCAGGATACAAAATTAACGCACAGAACTCTCTGGCATTCCTATACACTAAGGATGAAAAATCTGAAAGAGAAATTAAGAAAACACTCCCATTTACCACTGCAACAAAAAGAATAAAATATCTAGGAATAAACCTACCTATGGAGACAAAAGACCTGTATGCAGAAAACTATAAGACACTGATGAAAGAAATTAAAAATGATACAAACAGATGGAGAGATATACCATGTTCCTGGATTGGAAGAATCAACACTGTGAAAATGACTCTACTACCCAAAGCAATCTATAGATTCAATGCAATCCCTATCAAACTACCACTGGCATTTTTCACAGAACTAGAACCAAAAATGTCACAATTTGTATGGAAACACAAAAGACCCCGAATAGCCAAAGCAATCTTGAGAACGAAAAACGGAGCTGGAGGAATCAGGCTCTGACTTGAGACTATACTACAAAGCTACAGTAGTCAAGACAGTATGGTACTGCCACAAAAACAGAAATATAGATCAATGGAACAGGATAGAAAGCCCAGAGATAAACCCACGCACATATGGTCACCTTATCTTTGATAAAGGAGGCAGGAGTGTACTGTGGAGAAAAGACAGCCTCTTCAATAAGTGGTGCTGGGAAAACTGGACAGCTACATGTAAAAGAATGAAATTAGAACACTCCCTAACACCATACACTAAAATAAACTCAAAATGGATTAAAGACCTAAATGTAAGGCCAGAAACTATCAAACTCTTAAGAGGAAACCATAGGCAGAACACTCTATGACCTAAATCACAGCAAGATCCTTTTTGACCCAGCTCCTAGAGAAATGGAAGTAAAAACAAAAATAAACAAATGGGACCTAACGAAACTTAAAAGCTTTTGCACAGCAAAGGAAACCATAAACACGGCCAAAAGACAACCCTCAGAATGGGAGAAAATATTTGCAAATGAAGCAACTGCCAAAGGATTAATCTCCAAAATTTACAAGCAGCTCATGCAGCTCAATATCAAAAAAGCAAACAACCCAATCCAAAAATGGGCAGAAGACCTAAATAGACATTTCTCCAAAGAAGATATACAGATTGCCAACAAACACATGAAAGAATGCTCAACATCATTAATCATTAGAGAAATGCAAATCAAAACTACAATGAGATATCATCTCACCCCGGCCAGAATGGCTATCATCAAAACACCTGCAAACAATAAATGCTGGAGAGGGTGTGGAGAAAAGGGAACCCTCCTGCACTGTTGGTGGGAATGTAAATTGATACAGCCACTAGGGAGAACAGTATGGAGGTTCCTCAAAAAACTAAAAATAGAACTACCATATGACCCAGCAGTCCCACTACTGGGATTACATATACCCTGAGAAAACCATAATTCAAAAAGAGTCATGTACCACAATGTTCATTGCAGCTCTATTTACAATAGCCAGAACGTGGAAGCAACCTAAGTGTCCATCAACAGATGAATGGGTAAAGAAGATGCGGCACATATATACAATGGAATATTACTCAGCCATAAAAAGAGGGAAGAGATACGGGGATATATGTATATGTATAACTGAGTCACTTGGTTATAAAGCAGAAACTAACACACCATTGTAAAGCAATTATACTCCAATAAAGATGTTAAAAAAATAAAAAATAAAAATAATTAATTAAATAAATAAAATAAAGATTGGTCCAGGCTAGCTTGGATCTGAATCCCAGGGCGTGCTGATACTGATATAGTGGGAGTGGCACAGGCCATGTTCTTAGGGCCTTCTATGTTCTCCTAAGGATGCTTCCCATTGGCCTATCGAAAGCCTCGCTGAATGAGACCATGACTGGAGCTTTACTCCGAAAGCTTATTCAAGTTCGTTAAACCTGTCCTCCTCTCACTAGAACCCCAATCTCCCTCAGGTTCAAAAACGCCCATGGCTCTGGGCTCATGTCCCTCTTCTCAGTGAGCAGAACTGGAAAATTCTGGTTGCTGGGCTATTCTACGTGAAAGAAATGACAAAAACACTGCATCATAATATGGGTTTCTCTCTGAGAGGGGCAATATTACTTTACGTTGCCTATGGTAGTCTAAGTACACTGGCAAGCATTTGGACATGACGTTGGGTAGAAATGATGATAAAACGAACATGTAATTCATCTTTCACCAGTGAACTTTGAACTCAGAAATGTACTTTTTGGTGAGGGGAAGTGGTCTGTACCTCGATGAAAAGAGGTTATATATAGCCAAGACAACTCCATTTCAAATAGCTCTAGAGAGAGACATTTAAAGAGCACACGTACCTGGAGTTTCAACTGTATCCTGCTTTTTGGTTGTTCCCTTTGTGTTAATTTCACAGCTTACATGATAAAAAGTGAAAAGCAAATGATGTTTTTGATGCAGGTGAATGGGAAGCTCAATTTTAATCTGAAATGAAAGCAAAATTACACATAGCGTTTTGTTTTCATTGTCAAGCTGGACTGTCAGACCTTTAGCTCTGTTTCATCATACTTTTCCAGTGACATACTTTTCTAAATCACAAGCCAAGTGGTCAAATAATAGATATGATTTAAATATATTCCAAATGCTTTTCTGGTCAGTTTCACAGTTTGACAACAATATTCTCTTGGGTTGTGAGGGCTGATTTATTACTTTTGCTGAAGAGTCCAGTGGATTCTCCTGGATTCAACTTTGCAGCAGGTTTTCTGAAACACTGGATCAAAACCACATCCTTACAGCCCAGGGATACTCTGTAACTCAATGTAAGTCAGTGAATGCAATCCATCTACAATGTGCATTGAATTTGAAAGGCTGCTTTTTTCGAAATCACTGCCCTCCTCTGCATGAAGAAAAAATTAAGCCTTTACAAATAAACATGCAAAAAGTCACTGTGGTATTATGGGATCCACAAATTACAGTGTATATAAATTTCTTTAGAAGAAGAACACAACCTTACTCTTGAATAAATAAAAAGTATCGTCCTGACACACGAATTTAATACTAAAAATTAATACTTTAAAACAAGCATTGCAAGTACTTTTCCAGTCAGAACCCAACTGCCCGTTTGTAATGCCTCCTGGGAAGTGTATGGGAGAGAGATTACAGATTTAATTGATTTAACACACATACGTGGACTTGCACAGGAACACACGCAAACACACACACACGCTCACACTCACTTTCCTGGTTAATATATAGTGAATGCTTGAAAAGTCCATTTCCTAAAGATAATGTGGACTACTTACTACATGAACAAGTTTTCTCTAGTGACTGACATTGGTTATAGAGAGGGATGTATTAAACAGCTTGGTGATGGGACATCTGGCCTAATTATCATTCACACAAGGCATGGTTTTGGTGTTATAACTAATTTCTGTTGTAGGTATATTTCACCACAGAATACGCCTATTCACAGCATCCAGACCATCTGGGTATCTAATGCTCTGCTGCACATCAATATGGACATACTCCCTCCCTGGGTGGCGAAAATGCAAAGTCCCACTACCCTCCTCTCCATCCCCGGAGAAAGTAGGGGCACTGGACTGAGAAGGAATGAGTGAGCCTCGGGCTGGGGTTTAAGGCCTCCATACAACAGCAGCTGGGCCTGGGGAAATCAGGACAGCAGGGGGGATGGTTTCAGACCAAGCCAGGGATGGAGACGTGGAACCTGAGAAGCAGAAACAGCAGAGCTTCTGGCCTGGGATACGCATCCGGGTTCCACGGAGACACGCAGCCATCAAAAGCAGTCTGCGGATTTGGATAAGCCGACTACACATAGACGAGAAGAGGCTGTGACAGAGACACTAAGAGAGACACTGGAAAGGACACAGAGACATAGAGCTAGAGAAGTGGGAAGAAGGAAAGAGGTAGGGACAGGGTCAGAAAGGCAGACTGAGCAAGGGCGCTCGGAGGCCGGGAGACCACGCCAGCCCCCTCTGTCTACATTGCGCTGAGGCATTCGGTGCAGCCAATGGGACTCTGGGGACCCAGCCATGCCGCTGTGTCTCTCGGAGCATTTCACTTACAGAGAGGCTGCACCCTCCCACGCAGGACCACAGGAAGAAAGAGCTAAAAGGGCCTTCAGAAAATCCCTTCTAAATTTCTTATTTTAAAGCTTTGGAAATGGAGACTCAGAAAGAGGAAGTGACTTGCTCAAGGTCACGGAGCCAGTTGTTGTCAAAGTAAGGGCTAGAGTCCCCGTTCCAGTGTGGTGTCTGTTTCCTACGTTATCTCACGCCAGAGGCCCTTCAATTTGTGGGCCCATCTTCCACTGTCACCAAAGGGCACCAAGCAGGCAGTGGCCCCTCGTTCTGATGTGACATTTTCTATTTTCATGGGACAAAACATTCAGCGGGTGAAAGTGCAGACACAATATTGGAAATGATTCAAAGAGAAAAAGAAGAGCCACCACTGGGTTTTGTAAACGTCCAAATAACGCGCTTTACCTCATCATAGAACTCTGGATTCTGGTTGTGATGCGAGACAACAGCGTAAGCGTTTGTGGTAAAAACAGGCCCCGCAGGTTTTCCATAAATACACTGCAAAAGAAGGAAACAGAGTCACCACCCTCAATGTCACTCTTTAAACACGATGCTAGGGAACCACAAAGAGTTAGAGGCATCTGTGAGCCCAGGGTCACGGCCAAGCCCACCCAGCTCTCACCATGAACCTGTAAATTCCAAATCATTTACAGTCACTCCAGACACCACCCCAGACATCGCCTTACTTGGCTGCATGAATGCTTCTGAATTTCCGGCCATCTGAGAAATATAATTCCAACCTAGCTGACAGTAAGAGGCTGAACACTTCTCATCATTTGGAAGGGAAACACTCTCCAACCAGGCCTGGAAAGCTTACTTCTCTCGTGCTATTTGCACTTCTTAGTATGAGAAGCTCCCCCTCAGTCGGTCAGCAACATTTGCTGAATGCTCACTGTGCAGTGGGGTAAGGCGAGGAGTTAACAAAATAGAACCAACAGCAGATCCATTCCTAGCCTCGAGGAATTAGAAACTGAATGTCCATTAAGCTACAGACTAGCTTACTGTTCTCTCACTTTATGAGCCATAGTTTAAGAGTCACCAGCTTGCTGTTACACCAATAAAATTAATGGAAGGCTTTCTATGGTTCCATGGAAAGATCCGATTTCATTTCTAGTGTGAGCTTTTCAGTTCCATAGGCCTAATAAGTTCAAGGATGAAAATATGGAGTCACTGTGCCAAGGTCCTAACTGCCTCACTCGGGTACTTCGGAGCTAGCCTCCAGGCCAGCTGAGAAATGAAAGTGACACTCCACGTGAGTGCAACGCCAGCTCTCCTTAAATATGGTCATGGAGGCAATTTGCAGGCACTGCAGAGAGGTAACCTAAGAATCTTTAAGTATACAAAAAGGATATCGGATGAATGGCTAAAGAAGATGTGGCCCATATATACGATGGAATATTACTCAGCCATAAAAAGAAACGAAATTGAGTTATTTGTAGTGAGGTGGATGGACCTAGAGTCTGTCATACAGAGTGAAGTAAGTCAGAAAGAGAAAGACAAATACCGTATGCTAACACATATATATGGAATCTAAGAAAAAAAAATGTCATGAAGAACCTAGGGGTAAGACGGGAATAAAGACACAGAACTACTGGAGAATGGACTTGAGGACACGGGAAGGGGCAAGGGTCAGCTGGGACAAAGTGAGAGAGTGGCATGGACATATATACACTACCAAACGTAAAATAGATAGCTAGTGGGAAGCAGCCGCATAGCACAGGGAGATCAGCTCGGTGCTTTGTGACCACCTAGAGGGGTGGGATAGGGAGGGTGGGAGGGAGGGAGACGCAAGAGGGAAGAGATATGGGGATATATGTATAAGTATAGCTGATTCACTCTGTTATAAAGCGGAAACTAACACACCATTGTAAAGCAATTATACTCCAATAAAGATGTTAAAAAAAAAAAAAAAGGATACCGCATGGGGGCGAAGAAAATGTTATTCTCATCTCCACTGAAGGAAGAATCAGAGAACATACACCTCATTTGAGCCAGCTAATTCTTAATTTAACCTAGCTTTCTCTGTGAAAAAACTCTCTTTTCAAGGGTCAGAGCTATTAACCATTCAATGACTTAACTGGGGCTGTTCCAGCCTCTTTCCCAAGGTGGTTTAAGTGGAAGATTTGCCATCCATCTGTCTGATTTAGGTTCAAGCTAGAGAAGTTGGGAAGCCAGATAAACACTCTGTGATGGCTAGACGGTCTGACTTCTCTCTCAGGCCTCTGATTAATGGGCTACGGGCTAAAGGGCCAAAAGTAAAAAGCGGCTATAAAGAGTGAAAATGTGAGGGCACTGTGAAGTGACAGGTATTTAAGGACTGCGGTAGCAGAGAATGCTGAGATGCTTTTCGTGGATCACTAATTCAAGTTTGGAGGTACCATTTGGCCAGCCACAGACTAGAAGTCATATCTCAGATCAAAGCAGTTATGCTGTGCTTCTGTCAGCTCGAAGCCCGTTCAGGTTTCAAGGAGAAAGGAGTTTAAACTCCCCTGATGGTACCGTTATAAGCTGTCAGGTCACGAGAAAACGACCTTGTGACTGGGCATTGGAGCAATGCAAAATCAAAGTGGGGCAAAGGCAAAAATCTGGCATATGAAGCTTACCCATTTTTAAAGTTATATATGCTCCTAACTCAGTTTGTTATTTCTTAGTATTTACCGCATTCTTATAGTTAACGTGTAAGAGTAGAGAAGACGATATAACATTTGTCGCATTAGTACGTTTTCTTCGACATGTAAACACATTAAACTTAGCATACAGAACTACCGAGAACCAAAATCTCTATCTCTACTAAAAATGCATGCTTAACAATATCACAAACAAACCTTTACAGCGCTAGCATCGCTTTCATCCGAATCCCGGAATTCCACACAGACCGCGATGTTCCTTGCCTAAAATGATTCATCATTCAAAATGAGTGACAAAACAAAATTATAAATAACATTTTACACCCCAAAATGTATAGTTTACACCGTGTACCTTGGCAAATGTTTTCTGGCTATCGTATTTTAACTGCAAGGGATATACATATAGATGGTTTTTGTAAACGGTAAATGGATAACAATATTTTGTCATTTCTGGAACAAACTCTTCAACTTCCACAGTAATATTTTGACAATTCTTTTCAAAAGGCTTCAGGGGCACATATGAAGACGTAATACAGTCTGTAGCAGAAAAAAGAACAGGCAAAGATGTAACAATCATTAACACATTCCTGCATTTATAAAAATATACACGATTTGTGTTCTCAAAGAGCAGTTTAACAAATAGAATTCTTAGTGATTGACAAAAAGTTATACAAGCACTTTAAGGACCCAGAAGAACAAGTAGGAGTAAGTAGCCTGATGCTGGTTTTAGTGAAACCCTTCAAACCAGACGTGGATTGCTATTTCATTCTCAACGTAGAGCGATTTGCCAAATCTAACACATCATAATTTTGACAAATTTAAACTCTGCAAAGAAATCCATTACATTTTTCCTCCTGTGACTGCAATTTAGCTTTCACTGCAAATTTCTATTGGTATCAGGGAAGTAACAGTAAATTTATGCCAATTAGCTCATGGCTAGTCACTCTTAAAAAGTTAACTTGGTGCAGGTGCAAATTTTCACTTAAGAAATAATGGCAGCCTTTTGAAACTACAAATCTTATGATGTGTTACCAATAATAAATTCCATCCTCCCGAAAGTGGAAAACACAAAGCCTCAGAGAGGTGTAGCAGCAGCACATGTTATTGAGGTAGCCCCTTGTAGTAAAGGTTATTCATACACTTAAGGGGCTCTAAGACTGCTGGTCCTTGCTGCAGAGCAATACTGATGGAGGAGGAAGACCCCGGAGAGTCAGACCTGAGGACACAATATTTTTCGTTGGGTATGGCTTTCTATTATAGCGATACTTACAACAGAATACCTGGAGGTATAGAGTAAAGGTACAAAGAAACAAGTGATCATTTCACTACCCAGAGATAACTACTACTAATATTTTGGCATTATTTTCTTCTAGTCTTCTTCCTATGCATGTTTCATATAACAACACAAAAATCCCACTGTATACAGAACTTTATCCTGTTTTTTTTTTTTGGCGTTTTATCTGATGTCTTATTTCATGAATTCTTTGTAAACATCATTTTTCATAGCTGCATAAAGTTTCATGGTATCTGGATACCATAACTGCCTTAACCACACTGACAGTGTTGGGCTCTGGTTGTTTCCAAATCCTCCCACCCCACATAAACAACACTGCAAAGAACACCTTTATGCATAAACTCCTGTCTACACTTCAAATTATTTCTTTAGGAAAAAAATAAGCCATTGTACTCTTAGATGTCTTAAAATGTCAATTGCCACTCTCCTACTTCAATCTTTTCGTGACTTCTCATGGTACTTGGAATGAAATTCAGTCTTTTAAGGAGTTACCATGGTCTTCACAATTCTCTACATGACGTGATTTTTCCTACTTCTCCTACTTCATCTCCTACTCTCCCTCGTGCCCGTCACACACTACACTAGAGCCACATTGGCTCCGTTTCTGTCCATACAAACCAAGCTAGCTCCCACCTCAAGGTCTTTACATATGGGGCACCCTCAGAGCAGAATGTACAGTCACAGTCACCACATGCTGGCGGGGTCACATGGTGAGCCTTCACTGGCCACCCTTTTTAAAGCAGCCTGCCCAACCACAGACTGAAATTATTCATTTATTTGTTTTCTTGTTTAATGTCTGTCATTCATTCTAGACTGTAATCTCCATACTTTCAAAGCATCTGGTAAGTATTCAATAAAGTTTACTCAATAAATGCTTATTCGGTGAATAAATGGCTAGACAGAATCTCAGAAATGGAATGCCTTAGTTACGGACATTCATGGATATCTACTGCCAAATTGTATTCCTACTCGTGATGGGGGACGGTGCCTGGCCAAAACCTAGCCAGCATTCGACAGTTCCACTTCATTTTTGTAAATCTGATAGATGAACAAAAACATCCCAATGCTTAAATGTTTACCTTTGTGTTAGTGGCATAATTACTGAGACTGGACATTTTAAAAAGATTTACAAGTCATTTTGTTTCCTGCAAATTGTCTTTTGTGTCTCCTGAGATCATAGATTCTTTAGACAAAAGAGATACTCCTCCTTTTGGATCCCTTCGTTGATGAAACTTATCCAAGGCAAAAGGAGCAGAAACTCACTGGAGCACACTCACAACATCATATATAACACATGAAACAGCACCTGATAAAATCAACTCAATTCACTTCCTAGTCTGTAACTATTTACCATGTGTCCTGGGTTGAACAGTGTCCCACCCAAATTCATGTCCACTAGAAGCTCAGAATGTGACCTTATTTGGAAATAGGGTCTTGGCAGATGTAATTAGCTAGGAGGATGAGATCATAATGGATTAAGGTGGGCCCTAAATCCAATGACTGGTGTTCTTAATAGAAGGCCATGTGAGGACAGAGGCAGAGATTGGAGTGATGCAACTACAAGCAAAGGATGCCAAGGAGAGTCAGCAGCCACTAGAAGCTAGAAGAGGCGAGGAATGCTTCTTCCTTAGAGCACTCAGAGGGAGCACGGCCCTGCTGACACCTTGATTTTGACCTCTAGCCTCTAGAACCACAGAATAAATTTGCATTTTAAGCCACCCAGTTTGTAATACTTTCTTCCAGCAGCCCTAGGAAACTAATACACCATGTAAACCTCAAGAAAAACACTGAGAAGATAAAAACCTGAGATTCAAGCATAATAGCTCTGTAGGCTTATTTGCAATATGTAAGTTCTTACTTGATAAATCCACAGGAACACATTCTACTGTGATGTTTAGCTGCCCAGGAATAATCTGCAATTTGGTCTTCTCTGGCCTAGATGTAAAATAAGAATATTTTATACTTAAAAATATGATTAAGAAGTGCATTGGTTACACTTTATCCAAACGCTTCCAAAATCCAAATGCTCCAAAGCATTTGATTTTTCCCATATATGACTCGCGTTCAGAATTTGAAGGAATTATAATTCATCTATTATACTGATCTACTGCAGTAACTCCCAAACACTTACTTCTTGTATTCTGAGAGCAACTTGAGAATGTCTTCGTTTGAAAGCTTGCTACTGTCTTGTTTATACAAAGGAGAAAATCTCCCATCCAGGTCCAGAGAACCTTGAATATCTTTGAAAATGGGTCTAAAACAGGAACAGAAGGGGTTTTTTAACTCCAAAGTATTGATAAATTAAGATAAAATAGTGGTGGTGGGAGTAGAAAATGGTGAAACTATCTTGGAACATAATTCGGCAGCTTCTCCCGAAGTTAAGCATACACCTACCCTCTGATCCTGCAATTCCACTCCTAGGCATATTTCCACATGGTACTTGACTGTTCACAGCAGATTTATTTGTTATAGCCCCAAACTGGCAACCACCCAGATATTCATCAACAGGTGAATAAACAAATCGTGGTATATTCTTACGATGGAATACTACTCAAAATGAACAACTGATAGAACATTATGGATGAAACTCAAAAACAGATTGAGCACAAGAAACCAAATGCCGGGGCTTCCCTGGTGGCACAGTGGTTGAGAGTCCGCCTGCCGATGCAGGGGACACGGGTTCGTGCCCCGGTCCGGGAGGATCCCACATGCCGCGGAGCGGCTGGGTCCGTGGGCCATGGCCGCTGAGCCTGCGTCGTCCGGAGCCTGTGCTCCGCAACGGGAGAGGCCACAACAGTGAGAGGCCCGTGTAGCGCAAAAAAAAAAAAAAAAAAAGAAACCAAATGCAAGGGACTTCCCTTGTGGTCCAGTGGTTAACACTTCTCCTTCCAATACAGGGAGTGCGGGTTCCATCCCTGGTTGGGGAGCTAAGATCCCACATGCCTCGTGGCCAAAAAACCAAAACGTGAAACAGAAGCAATACTGTAACAAATTCAATACAGACTTTAAAAATGGTCCACATCAGGGCTTCCCTGGTGGCGCAGTGGTTGAGAATCCGCCTGCTAATGCAAAGGACACGGGTTCGAGCCCTGGTCTGGGAAGATCCCACATGCCGCGGAGCAACTAGGCCCGTGAGCCACAACTACTGAGCCTGCGCGTCTGGAGCCTGTGGTCTGCAACAAGAGAGGCCACGACAGTAAGAGGCCTGCGCATGGCGATGAAGAATGGCCCCCGCTCTCCGCAACTGGAGAAAGCCCTCACACAGAAACGAAGACCCAACACAGCCAAAAATAAATAAATTAAAAAAAAAAAATGGTCCACATCAAAAAAAAAAAAGTCTTAAAAAAAAAACCAAATGCAAGAGTACATACTGCATGATTCCACTTATATGACAGTCTAGAATAGGTAAACGTCATCTAAGGTCAGTGGTTGCCTGGGTGTGGGTGGGATGGCTGACTGGACAGGAATATGAGGAAACTCTCTGGAGTGATAGACACGTTCTATATCTTGGTTGGGGTGGTAGTTTTATGACTGTAAATATCTGTGAAAATTCATCAAGTTGGACATATAAAATGTGAATTTTAATCAAAGGTAAATTATCTCTCAATAAAGTTGATAAAAATTGAATTAGATATTTAAGATCAATCTATAGAGTCTACAATATATATGTAAAGTTTCCAATATGAATTGGAATTATTCCCTCCCCCTCCCCTTCTTCCATTTTTCAAGCAGCTCTTTTACTGCTAAATCGGGAAGTAATGTACAAGTACCCAACACACTGGAAGCAGCTACGGCCAGAAGCACAATTCCCCCTGGCAGAACCACTGAAAATGTGGTTATAGGCATTAACTATTGTTCCTACTTCTAAGCATACCTCCTTTATTTTCAGTAAACAGGGGTTTATCACACATCTTTTAAATACCCCAGCCAAGCCTTTAGAGTGAGTTCCTGCTACTGCTGACAACCAAAATAATTCAGGCAGAAAGAAACAGCATAATTCCACATCAGAACTGAGGATCACAGCGTCTAACTTTGAAGATTTTAAAATTTATTTTTCTACTGGCAAATCAGCATCAAGCAGCTACTGCTATGGCCTGAAGGGGGGCGGGGGGCAGTGTGCCACAGGTGTCCAGCGTGGGCTCTGAACTCAGACGCCATGAGCGCTGAGCCCTACTCACACACATGCCATGGGAACTTGGGCAAGGATTTTTTTTTTTTTTTATTTCAGTGACTCAATTTCCTCGTCTCTAAGATGGGGGGGAATACTACCCACCTCTTTTTTTGAGGGGGGTATGTATGTATGTGTGTATGTATGTATTTATTTGTTTGTTTGTTTGGCTGTGCCGGGTCTTAGTTGTGGCATGCAGGATCTTCGTTGCCGCGTGCAGGATCCTTAGTTGCGGCATGCGGGATCTAGTTCCCTGACCAGGGGTCGAACCCGGGACCCCTGCATTGGGAGCACAGAGTCTTACCCACTGGAGCACCAGGGAAGTCCCAATACCCACCTCTTAAGGAAGTATACATTAAACACTCAGACCTCTGCCTTATACATTGAGCACTTAATCCCTATAAATAATAACAGCAGCAGCAGCTGGAGCATCACTAAGTACGCTTATATTTACAGGCAATATTTCACCTTCTATAATGCCTAAATATACCACCCTCCACTACTCTTTGCCCTTGACCTATCCTTGGCTATCATTCTTACCAGTCTGCAAAACAAGGACAAGGTGCCTTTTCATCTACCAACATATAATGCATTTTGAGACCTTCCCCCAAATGAAGTGATTATAAATAGTGACAGAAGACTTAATTAACTTAGAATCTCCTGTCCTTATGCTACTCGTCAGCACCCACTGAACATAACTGATTGAATTATTCAGAACATGGTGCCCTTTCCCCAGAAGTTCCAGTGAGCTGTACAGGCTGTACCACAAACAAGCCAGTGAACTTGTACTTCAAAGGGGGAATAAGCAAGAAGCACGTTTTAAGTCATCACTGTAGGTAGACTTGCAAGATCTGGAGAAAAAACATGTAACCCACCATCAGATATGTGGTATAGATAATACACTTCCTAACAGACTACCCCTGAAGGGGTTGCCAAATTTGTCATCAGAAAGCAAGAAAATCTATTAAGTAATTACACACTTGCACTTAACAGCATTCTTTGCCTTCTCATTTTTAGTATGTTTTTCAGAATTACTCTATGATGGCTTTTCAAAGCATACACCCAGCCAACTCTGAAACAGTGGGCACACTGTACATAATTCACTACAATTTCTGGTTTTCTGGGAAAAAATTCCATCACTTTAGCAAATAAGCTCTGCTTTAAAATGCAATAAAATTAAGTGGTGTCAGTCAGATCAGTAACCCAAGCCAAAGAAAATTTCCCTGAAGCAAGACATTTGAAAAAGTGAAAGGTCTTTGAGGCACAGCAAATTCTAAGAGAAAGAATTCTTATATCCTGTTACAGACTGAACGTTTGTATCGTTCCCCCCACCCGGCCCCATGTCGCCAAAGTTCATTTGTTGAAATCTAATCCCCAAGGTGATACTTGGAGGTAGGGCCTTTGGGAGGTGATTCGGTCATGAGGATGGAGACCTCATAAATGGGATTAGTGCCCTTATAAGAGGCCAGAGAGCTAGCCCGCCCTCGTTCCACCATGTGAGGATACAAGGAGGAGTTGGTTATCTAAAACCTGGAAGACAGTCCTCACCAGAACCCAACCATGCTGGCACCCTGATCTCGGAATTCTAACCTCTGGGTATGAAATAAATGTCTGTTGTTTAAGCCACCCAGTCTATAATAATTCATTATAGCAGTCCGAATGAACTGAGACACATCCCAAGTGTCCCAAGATGTAACTGGCTTGTCAGAAACAGACTTCCAAATGCTACTGGGAAAGACGACAGCCCTCAACTTTACATGTGAGCGTGAATAGATGGGTCAGGATTATATTTGTACAAACCTGGCAGCCCAAGCAAAGGGCATTCTGTATTGTCCAAGGCGGCTACACACTTGCTTAGCTGTCCTGTGCACCTTCTGGGCTGTCTAAGGGCAGAAATAAGAAGACAAGATCATATTTGTTCAAACTACCAGGGACTCACCCAGAAAAATAATTGCCCCAGCTCACTGATATAAAACATCAAAATCTAGGAAAACAATATATAGAAATAGCTACAGGTAAAACACAACACACATCAGTCACCCACTTTCCAAGATGAAAGTATTTCCTAAAGGTTCTGTGTTTTCTCACCAACAAAGCCCTCATCGAGATATCAGAAGACAGACAAAATAGATGTAGGGCATGTTTTGCACCAAAGACCACTACTGGGAAAATTTAAGCAGTTGTAATGTGTATTTCCTTTCACAACGTGAGCAGGCAGACACTCATCATTCTTGGGAGAAGTTTGTTCTAGGTACTGCTGACCTTTTTACTCCCAAGATAAAAGCCAAATGACCAACAATCGATGCAATTAGCTTAGCGTGGGCAGGAATTGCTGTCTGCACAGGCACTGGGAGACGGCAAAGGAGACGAACTGCCTATAGAGTCCAAACAGGCTGTGAAGATGCTGGCTGTATGCTCACCCCTAGGGATACAGAATGCTAGAGGCTTTTATCTATACTGTTCAGAGTTTCTTTTCCCACACATTAGTCACAGGTCTCCTCAGCATCTCCCACTTAATAAACACTATTTGGACACACAGCTCAGTGCTACAAATAACAGATCGACTCTTACAAATACTCAGCAGCTGGAGTGCCGCTAGTGAACTGTGCCACAAATGCTTTCCCTCTCTGGGCCTCACTTTTCTCATTTATAAAATGAGACGAGAGAATTAGATCAATAATTTCCAAAGGTTTGGAATTCATGATCCAGAAATTGGGATGAGTCTATGGCTCGCCGACTTTGAAGGCTGCCATTTAAAGCCCTTGGATGGTAAAAAAACAATCCCCGCCATTTCATACGCCAGCGTTTCAGGAAAGACAGACAGGTGTAATGTCTAAAAGGTAGGAAGGGCAAAAGTCTCAGAATAAAGGACAGCCCTTCGAATAAAATACATTGAAGTTTCATGAAGGGCTCACTATCTTGTCTTTCTTTTCTCATTTCATCACAGATAGGAGTAAATTTGAGTACAGACTGGCATTTGGAAACTGCAGGACTGGGTCATTTTTATCCTCCCAGCTCTGACATTCTAAGCCCGTATTGCAGGGCTGGGAGTAAAGAAAGGGTAGCTATTGCCAAGGATACGGTATCAATGAACAGGTGTTGCCTAAAAGCCTTTAGCTCTTACTTCGATAAACAAGCAAAAATCAGATCGTCGTGTAAAAAGGACATAAAGGAAAAGGGGGAAAAGTCACGTTCAAGCCTTAGCATGCATACTCACATAGTAAACAACGTTTTCAGAAAATACTGCATGCTGCGAGAACGTTGCGGGATTTTTTTGTTTTTTGTTTTCTTTTGGGAGGAATCATTGATGATACCATTTAAAATACCAATAAAAGGCAAATTCTACATCAGGCTGAAATGCTCACCAACGATCTTTATAAATACCTTTGCCGGGTCGGAATTTTTGACGTAGGGCTCCGCACAGTGCGTGATGTTTCCCTGGAGCACCTTTTCAATTCTCGCGACCAGGAAAATTTCAGGATGTGGATTCGTCACTGAGAAAATTCCCTGGAAAAAATTCCTCCCGTTAGACTTTTCTTGAATGTAACCTCATATATACAGTTGTTTGGTTAGTGATTCCTAGTGGTGTGTTTAGCACAGAATGTTGATATTCAACATAGGATCATGTCCAGGGCCCTGGCAATAGATAGCATTTCCTTTCATACAGCTTCATACAGTCTCCCAGGCTCCCAATGCTCCTTTCAAAATGGATTTTCTATTTTGTCACCAATTTCACGTGTATTATTGGTCCACAAAGCACAGGTGTCACCCTGGCTGCTTAGCCTCTTGTGTTCGGCGGTGTTTGCGAGGTGCGCCCTTAGGCCTTATCAGTACGGCGTGTATTGTTTGGCTCAAGCGGCATGTGCAAAAATAGCGTGCATTTCTGAAGTGGAACCGGATATGCGTTTTTAAACGTAACTGCCTGCAACTCCAGGGCAATTCACTCACACTTAACTACTACTGATGGTAGCTAAGAAGGAAGAAAATACTTTATTGCTCTGTATAACATAAAAACTGAATCATCCTATAGAAACCATTCCTTTGTTGCAGTTAAAGAGCGCTGGTGCTCTCAACGTAAAGGTAGAGGACAGAGGATCTGAAACTCCTTTTGTTCCCAAACACTTTATCTCAGGTACTAATGTAGATGCAACCCAAGTTCCATGAGTTTTCTTTGAGGGCATGTGGAACAAGCATATCATCTCCTGTTCCAGTTCAGCTCCTTCCAAATATAATGTCTTCCAAATGGCCTGTTAGTTGGTTATGTCCGTTGCTTAAAGAAGCACCACACAAATGAATTCAAGTGTAAAAATCCATCACTGGGACTCTACCAAGTTTTATTTTTCTGCTTGGTATATTACCAACTGTGTTAAGATAGTGTGTTCCAGTTTTCAAAGCATTTCAGACACGGTAGCTCATCTGTTCCAGAAAGAACCCTCTGAGGTAGACAGGAAAGGAGAGAAAACCAAGTGTAGGACGCTAAGTAATTCCCCCAAATCCAGCAGCTTCTAAGGGTCCCGGATTATGGCTGATTTAGCTTTGAATTCCCAAGCAGCAAGCATGGAAGAAAGTGGTTAAAAACTGTTCGGGGAGTCAAATCTCCTGGGTTCAAATGCTGACCCCACCATTTATGGGTTTAGGCAAGTCGTATCCTCTCTACATCTCAGATTGCCCATCTATGAAATGGGGGATGATGAGAGTAAGAGCGCTTTCGTAATCTTCTTGAGTGGATTAACTGAAGTAATGCACATTAAGTACCTGGTTATTGCCAGAGTAACCCAAAGCGTCCCAAGATCCCAGAACTTGATTTTTGGTTCTGCCAGGAGCATGCTGCCCGGGCTGTGACATGCAGCTGGCAGACTGCTAGAGCGGCTCCCGCAGAAGGTATGCTGAGCAGTGCACCCTGAGTGCAATCGCATGCTTTCTGATTGTCACATGACTGTGCTAGAGAGTTTTCGTGCACCATCTCCCTCAGTCTTCATAAAAACCCCTGAACGCAAGCACTACGATATACACATTTTACAGATTAAGAAACTGAGGCTTAGAGACGTTCACGCAGTAAGTGGGTGAAGATTGCAGCCAGGGCTTCCAGACGATACACAGCCTCTCAGCCTCTTGACCTAGGCTTCCAACATCTCACGCGATACAGCTTGACGAGAACAGTAACACCAATTACTGCCACGGCTAACATTCACTGAGTGCCTATTGTTCCCCATGCCCAGTACTCCAGCTGTTCCCCCACACAGCCATTTCCCCACACTGATGCGAGCAACGAATATTATCATTTAAAAGGATTTGACAACTGATAAGAGGAAGCTGCTTTCACTCGTTTATCTGTTATCACTGTTACTACTGCTCTTAATAGCAGCCACGTCTTACTGAGCCAACTCGGCGGGCCTGGTACAGGGCCGAGTGCTTTCTAGGGACAGCACACGTTGTCTGAGCCTCACAGTCACCCTGGATGCAGGTACTATGGTTACCTCCAGTTTACAGATGAGGATGCCGAGGCACAGAGATGCTCACTGTTCAAGCGACCAGGATTCCGGTCCAGGGGGAGACTCTCTGCAGCTGCGTTGCCTTTTGTCCCTCCAGCTTCGAGCTCTCCCCCGTCCCCGGAACACAGAAGGGTAACCAGAGAGCACCCAGGAATCCTGTGTGGGCTGGGAGTCTGGCTCTTTAGGACAAGGCCTCTGGCCCTTCCCTCCTGTCCCACCAAGGAGGCATGGATGGGCCTGTCCCCGCCGGAGGGCGACTCTCACCCACTTCACTGCCCCCTCCCTCTAAAGAACGGGCCAGGTCCCCCCCAGCCCAGTCCGCAGCACTTAGCCCCCAGAGCACGGCAGGGCATGTGACGGCAGAGTGCCCCCTTTTCACTAGCGCCCAACACCTGCTGCCCCCCAGCGGGGAGCCCACAAGCCACAGGTCAGTCTGGGGGACACGGGGGACTGAGCTCTGTGAGGGCATCTGGGAAGGAACTGCCAGGCAGCTGAGGGTGAAGTAACTGGTCACAGTGGCAGGAAGGCAAAACTACTCAACGGACCCAGCTTCCTCCTTTTCCTGTGGTCACCTTGTTGCTCCAAGGAGCAGATGGGGAGGGCCTAGAACGGCCCGCAAGCCCCCACTGTCCACCAAGCCCTGGAGTGGCCTCTTTCTACAGATCATGCCACCCCTCGAACAGCCTTGGTGGAGGCGACGGGGTTGCCAGACAGCCCTTTCCAGGAATGCTGGGGACCCAGGCTGTTTCCCCATCTCTAGGGTGACAGGGAAGCAGTGCAGTAGAGGGGGGAATGCTCCTCATCTCAGCAGCTCTGTGACCTTGAGTAAGCCACCTGACTGCTCTGTGCCTCAGTTTCCTCATCTATAAAATGGGAATAGGAATAGGACCTACCTACTTTACTGGGGGTGTGGTAAGAATTAAATGACTTTATACAGATAAAGTACCTAGAGAAATACGGGGAAAAAAATTGCTGAAAAAAATCTGATGAGCTGAGATTAGCGTTCAGACCTGCTAACATCCAGTCTCTCCCTACACAGTACTGCATCCCAGTCCTAAATGGGAGGAAGATGAAGAAAAAGCCTTCTTCAAAAGAAAATGTCCAAATATTGGAGCAAATGGCCGCTTCCTGGTATCTTTAGTTGATCTGGAACAAGGGTGCAAAATGATAAAGCCATTTGAGGCCGCTGCCGATTCCTCTGAAGCCTCTCTCACGTCCCACATCTTCTATGCAGTCTTCTAAGGCAACTCCTGACCCTTGACCCCTCCTCACATTCCAAACTCCTCCACTCCCATTGTGTGATACAAGTCAGCACTTAATTACATACTGCCTAATGTTGTTGACTGAGGTCTTTCAAACAGACCTAGGCTCAAATCCCACCTTCACCACTACCAGCCATGTCATGACGGGGAGCTTACTTAGCCTCCCTGATCAGCAGTTTCCTCATCTGCAAAACAGCAATAATTATCCTATTTCACAAGACAATGGTGTTTACGTGAGACACCAATGGAAAATTCTGGCACACAAGAGACATGCAAAAAATGCTGATTTTCTTCCTGACCTAGGTTATAGGTGGGATGACCCCTGAAACCACAATTTAAACTTCTTGTATTGAACAGACAGCTGAGCACATTGAACTAATGCAGCAAATACATCATTGGCTTAGAAGGACTTATTTGACACTGTGTGGAAAATTTTAAACATATAATTCAATAGCAGGTTCTCAAATACCTGTAATACTGTCTTGCTCAATCTCTCTTTTAGAAGCATAGGCCGTCACAGTGGAACGTTCAAGTATGTGACAACCACAGTCTGAGTAACAAACGAAGAGGATGTAAGGGAATGAGGAGCAACATGGGGAAAAACGACCACAGGTCCACAGCCCAGAGGTGAGTGACAGCACATGTCAAGTCCCCTACCATTGGGCAATCTGTATCAATGAGCATAATCTTTGACCCTGAAAACCCCAATGCTTGAAATTCATTCTAAGGAGATAATTCAACAAGTGAGCGAACACGTAAGCACAAGGATGCAATAATGCAGTGTTCTTTATGATATCCCCAAATTAGAAATATCCTAATGAGCTCAATCAGTGGAATAACAGATTAGCCTTTAATAAGAATGTGACTGATACAGGGTGATAAACATGATGCTGAATAAATACAGTAGGTATAAAACCGCATGACTATGATACAGTCTGTAGAAGAGTACACATAATGTGTATGTGTTTATATACACACAACAGAGACATCCAGAAAGATGTTTGCCAAAATGTTAATAGTTATCGTCTATAGGTGCTGATTTTTACTTTCTTCTTTATTACTTTTTGTATTGTTCGAATTTTCTACATGATAATGTATTTATTTTTACAATCAGAAGAAAAAGGAACATTTTTATTTAGGGTAAAAGAAATCTCATTACAATGCGAGCTGCTTTGTTCTGCTTCTTCCCACTTTAATTCTCTGCCACACTCTAGTTTCCTTTCAGTTGCAAAAGTCTAGAAGGCAGACCATCAATTCTGCTCTGCCTAACCTCTTATGGAGTCCAGTCTGGTCAGAGGCCAAAATGCCAGGGAACTGTTAGGCTCCTTCCAAAGGGCATTCTTTGCCTCAGATAGGATAGGGGAGCGTAGCATTACAGCTGTGACACAAGAACTCCTTGAATAAAGAGAGTTTATGCTCCATTAAAACTACCTACTCAGGGGCTTCCTTGGTGGCGCAGTGGTTGAGAGTCCGCCTGCCGATGCAGGGGACACAGGTTCGTGCCCCAGTCCGGGAAGATCCCACATGCCGCAGAGCGGCTGGGCCCGTGAGCCATGGCCGCTGAGCCTGCGCGTCCGGAGCCTGTGCTCCGCAACGCGAGAGGCCACAACAGTGAGAGGCCCGTGTACCGCAAAAAAAACAAACAAACAAAAAAAACTACCTACTCAGAATGGGAATGGGAGTTAGGAGGGGAAGGTTATTGTAGGGTCAACTTTTTCTTCAAAGAAACGAGTCTTACAGGTACTTATTGCCTTGCTCAAAAGTATGCGCAGGGGTACAGGGGTGTGTCTGTGTCATCTGCATTCCATCTCACAAAATACTTCCTTTGAGATTCACATCACGGTCTCACTTCACCAGTGTATTATTAGCATATTTGCTGGTTTCCTTTTTTTCCCCTCCAACTTCAGTCACCAGAAAAACATCTATACACAGACCCTACAAGAGATGGAATGCCCATGAAAACACTGGCCTGAAACTATGAAGGAACCCAAGGGTGTTTCTGTTTCTTATTCTGAATGCGCTACCAAGGCTAAAAGATCATTCCTTACCTGCCTTATGTAGCGTAACTGAGATTCAGCAATTCCATGAATGAAAGACTCCGGTGAAGAACCTCTTGAGTTTCCATCACTAGCCAGTTGGGTTGAAGGGCTCCACAGCATTTCACGGACAGATGCGGGATTCAGGTCTACGTGGAAGTCAGCTGAAATCTTACAATTGTTCTTCACATCAAATAAGGCAAGATTTATAAAAAAGGGTTCAACCTGGGAATGAAAACCATTACGTTTTTAAACTATGACTTTTATTTTAGGTGGGGTGAGGGGAGGGACACAAATTACAAAATAATTTTTTTTAATTCCTCTGAGTTCAACATTTAGCTAAAATTGCATTGTGGCTCATTTGCATATAAGAAAGAGCATTCTAAATAACAGACTATCAAGTTTTAACTTCTGTCAGGTATAATTTCACAAGCTATAAATTTTTTAAAATGATGCGTAGAAATCAGAAGCCACATTTAAAGAACTTCAACTGTTCTATGAATAAATTTTAATTCTCCATAGGCTTATTGAAATTACCCCAAAATAATGCCGGTATTACAGAGCAGAAATAAATCTTCCCTTTTGCTATGTTACAGCTTATTGGATTATACATTTAATAAGAGCTAATATCAGTGAACATCCAATTACTTGACAAAAGCTTTGCTCCATCAGCAATTTTGGAAGACATGATTCCTCTCCACAGATGGCATTTGAAAGCTGGTCACAAAGAGAAATTTCATGCCAGATGGCATAAAGATTAACCCTTTACACACCGAAAGTCTGCTAGTGCATCTCAGCTACTTTGTTAGAGAATAAATCATCACTGTGGATATTTCTCAAAGACAAAGTAGAACCCTCAAAAAGATGAACATAAAATGCAGTCTCTTTGGCGATTTTACATTCATAGTTTCAAGTATTCCTAAGCAGCTCAAATGATGCGTGACAGCTAATAATTAGAATTTGCTGTGAAGAACAGAATGAATTTACCCTATGAGGATAGTGAGTGAGGTGGAGCTGACTGCACAGCATCTGTGTTCCTCCATGGCTTTGGTGTTCCTTACTCATGGCTATGAGTCAATTTCACAGAAGTCATATTCTCTAGTAGAATTTACAAATTTGAGGGCTTTCCACGCTCTGCAGACAAGTCCCTCTTGAATGTAAAGAGCCTACCTACTCTACCTGCTATTTTGAATAGGTAAGACTTTCATGAATCCTCTCAAGATGAAAACACATTCCTATTCTGGCAAAATAAAGACATGTATGGAATTCTTCCATGTCAAATGTATCGTAACATGTAGCAATGGAATTTGCATGCAGTAAATTAGTTCTCAGAACAAAATTGAAAATCTTAAAAAAATAAGGAAGAAGTTTCCTTAATGCACTGGTTTAATGGAGGTAGAAGGAAAATTCATACATACGTTTGTGGGTGGTCCTTTTGCATTGTCTCCAACTTGACCCAAGATATTGAACGTTAAATCACGGCAATTTACCAGGAAACGTTTATTGCACTTTTCCTCAAATGGCTTTATATCAGGTTCAATTCCGGAAAAGTCCAACCTCTACAAAATATATAATATGAATCAATTCTCCCCCAAAATAGATATTATATGAATATAGATCTATGCGTAAAAATTGCAAAATCCAACAGTTCTCTGTCCATTCTTCATTTGAACTCTTATTTTTTTATTCAACAAGGCTTTGTAGAGCTCTTATAGTAAGGTTCAAACACAGATAGAGAGAAATCCCGACCTCACCCTCCACCCCACTCCTCTGACTTCATCTCCTATCCTCCCCCCGACCTCTGTTCAGCCCCATTGGCCTCCTCGGTTATTTCTCCAGCACACCAAGTATACTCCCACCTCAGGACCTTTGCACTTGGTGTTCTGTAAGGAACCCTCTTCCCCCAAGATAACTGCAAGGCTTATTTACCAGGGTGAGCCTCACCAGGGTGAGGCTTCATTTCATTCAAGTGTCTAATCAATTGGCATTTCCACAGAAAGACCTTCCTTAATTCCCTATATAAAACTACATACTGGGCTTCCCTGGTGGCGCAGTGGTTGAGAGTCCGCCTGCCGACGCAGGGGACGCGGGTTCGTGCCCCGGTCCGGGAAGATCCCACATGCCGCGGAGCGGCTGGGCCCGTGAGCCATGGCCGCTGAGCCTGGGCGTCCGGAGCCTGTGCTCCGCAACGGGAGAGGCCACAACAGTGAGAGGCCCGCGTACCGCAAAAGAACAAAAAACAAAACAAAACAAAAACTATATACTCTCTGAAAGTCTCTACTCCCTTTCTTTAGTTTCGTTTTCTAACATTATTTTTGATATTTATTTGGTTGTTTATTGTTTGTCTTCCCCACAAAATATTATGTTCCAGGATGGTAGGAATTTTGTTTCTTTCATGAGCTGTGCAGGAGACAAACTTGACATGAATGGATATGGAAAGCAAGAATAACACAATGGCCTCTAACTTGGAAGATTCAGTAGACTGTGATGTTACAAACTTAGATGGGAAATAAAAATGAATAGCAGGTATGGGGGGGTGAACAGAGGTGATGAGTTCAGCTTGGGATGTGTTGAGTTTGAGGTGATGCAAGTAAGTGGTTGGAAAAATAGGAGAGGTGTGGGTTGGAGATCTGGATTTGGGCATCAGTGGTAACCAGGGTGAGGAGGACAAGGCCGGACCTCTGGGGACCACCTACATTGAAATGATGAGCAGAGGGAAAGGCATGTGCTCCTGAGCTCAGCTTCTAACAGAGCTGGGAGATGAACTCTGGCTGCCACAGAGATATATTTTTGAAAATTATTGTTATCTCAAAATAAAGTTTAAAAAAAGATACTGGGGGCTTCCCTGGTGGTGCAGTGGTTGAGAGTCCGCCTGCCGATGCAGGGGACACAGGTTCGTGCCCCGGTACGGGAAGATCCCACATGCCGCGGAGCGGCTGGGCCCGTGAGCCATGGCCGCTGAGCCTGCGCGTCCGGAGTCTGTGCTCCGCAACGGCAGAGGCCACAACAGTGAGAGGCCCGCGTACCGCAAAAAATAAATAAATAAATAAAATTTTTTAAAAAATAAAAAAGGATATTGGGAGTCAAAGAATTCCTCTCACAGAATCCTCCTCCTTAGCTCACACGGCTCAGGAGATCCTGAGTTCATCTGTTCATTCTAATGGTCTGAACAGACTCACATTCTGTGCACAAATGGGAGGAAAAGTATATACTGTGGGACAACTTACTATACTTTCGATAAGACCAGAGACAGGGTAGATGGGAAATGACTGGATGAATCCGAGCAGAATATACTGCCAGTATGGAAAACTCAAGCCAAGAAACATAAGAATTTTTCTCAATTGCCTGAGTATTTCAAGCCAAAACAGGTATTGTGACTGAAGAGTCTTGGATAATTATAGCTGTCCTGACCTTGCCTACATCACTGACAAAATTCTCCTTAAAAGGGCCTAAAATATAATATTCGTACCTGAAAGCACGATTTTCCCCCCAGAGTCTATTTATCTACAAATGTGTGGGACTAGACAGCTCCCTCTTGAACACTTACCTATCTGTGGAGCCAGCGGAGGCAAGTCATTGCCATGGAGATCAATTCTAATTTCCGCCCATTTATCTGCTCTCCTTTCTAGCTTACTCAGAAGGTGGAATGTGAAGAGAAGCTGGACTAAACGCCCCCAGCCCCCAAATCCTTTCCCTTCTGAGGCCTAAGAGTGCAAATGTTGGGACATATGGCCATCCTCAGTAGTTCAAAGTTGGAGCCACCCCCTTCAGTCAGTGTTTCTTTTGTTTTTTGTGTTTTTTAAAATTTTTTGTCTGCCTCTTCTTTGGGGGATGCTTATTAGGCGTGTACATTTTTAATTTTTTTGGCCGTGCCACTTGGAATGTAGGATCTTAGTTCCCCAATGAGGGATCGAACCCGTGCCCCCTGCATTGGAAACACAGAGTCTTAACCACTGGACCGCCAGGGAATTCCCCAGTGCTTCTTTATTCTCTACGGTCAGTGGAAGAAAACACATCTCTAAACACTGAACTCTGGCCAAAAGTGACAGCCGATATTATAGGATGACACTGCCTACCTAGAAAAGTACTCGACACACACAACCTAGATTTCTCTGTAGTGAAACTGCCTTCCATAACCAACACTGAAGTCAATTTTCTGTCAAACTTTCATTGCAACAGTGAATTTTTCTCTCACTGTGTAGCTCACTGATAAACAACTCAAACATAAAATCAGTTCAGTTCCATGACCACAAAAACACTACACCACAGATTTTTTAAAGACACTAGATTGAGTTTCAACCACAGTCAATTGGCTTCTTTGTATACAATCAAAGAGTCTGACATGTTCAATTAGAGCCCAATCATGATGATGAGGGGTGGGATCAAAGGCTCAGACATGCTTGGAATGAGTAAATTTCTGAATGAGTATCTTAGAACTAACATTCCCAAGGCCTGCTATACCCCTTTTTGTTTTAATTCATACAACTTACACAAATAATATAGTAGTGCTATGGAGAAAAAGGGAGAGAACATTTAAAACAAATTTTCCCCAGATAATTTTATTTTCTCATGTGGTATTTTATTAAGGAAAAACTTTTGCATTATTTATAGACTATATACTTTTTCCATTTCAGACTAAAAACTTTTAGTTAGAAAACTGTATGAAGTGGGGGCTTCCCTGGCGGCGGAGTGGTTAAGAATCCGCCTGCCAGTGCAGGGGACACGGGTTCGAGCCCTGGTCCAGGAAGATCCCACATGCCGCGGAGCAACTAAGCCTGTGGCACACAACTACCGAGCCTGCGCTCTAGAGCCCGCAAGCCACAACTACTGAGACCACGTGCCACAACTACTGAAGCCCACGCGCCTAGAGCCCGTGCTCCGCAACAAGAGAAGCCACCGCAATTAGAAGCCCGTGCACCACAACAAAGAGTAGCCCCAGCTCACTGCAACCAGAGAAAGCCCTCGCGCAGCAACGAAGACCCAATGCAGCCAAAAATAAATAAATAAATTTATTAAAATAAATCAGAGGAGGCTCCTCTTTAAAAAAAAAAAAAGAAAGAAAACTGTATGAAGCAAAAAGAAATGAAAACAAAATCAGTCTTCCCCAAATTATTTTATATTGTATTGACATATTTTCACTGAGGAAAAAACTGTAATGCTTATATAACGCGTACTTTTCTATTGAAAAAATCCCACAGATTTTAATTAGAAATCTCATGTAGAAAAATTGAAAAGAAAACCAAAATATTCATCTTCCCTCAAATAATTTCATTTTCTTGTGAAATAGTTTCCATTAGGAAAAATATTTGTAACATTTATACACAGCAGAATTTTTCCATTTTAAAAAATCAGCAATTTAATTAGAAAACATGATGGAATTACCTAAATGGGAAAAGAATATGAAAAAGGATACATGTATATGTATAACTGAATCACTGTGCTATACACCTGAAACTAACACAACATTATTAATCAATTATATGCCAATATAAAATAAAAAATTTTTAAAGAGGTAAAATAAGAAAATATCATGGAATTAAATATTAACTACCTATATATCTTAGTACAAAAAGTGCCTCACTCTCATGAAAGAGATTAAAATACACATGTGCACATAAACCTGTACTTCCCTGCACCGCTTTCCAGTTTAAGTGAGATACATGAAAATTATCCCAGTTCTACAGGCCTACATCAAAAGTGGAAAATAAACACGTCTCATATGACTTGGTGTTCCTCACACTGCAGATATTCACTGCTACTGGATCACAATTGTATTTGATGGGTTAAAAGCACTGAAACCATTGTTAAGGACTCTTTAATTTACCCATTTTGAGGAGTGAGATGAAGTGAAAAGAATATAAAGAACTGAGAGAAAAAAATATATATATATATGTTGTCCCAAACTATTTGTATATACGCTAGCCCTCTTAGTGAAGTTAGCTGTTAAGCTACTTGTTCAAAGTAAGCAAGACAAGTATAAAGCAATAGATATGCCCAGTAGTGCAAAAATCAGTGATTTCAACATTTCAGACATTGTTTATCTGAATAAGCAACTATTCTAGGATTATTTAAAGAAATGTATCATTAATACCTGAACTTCCGAGTCAAAAGAAAAGAGGTTCTGTCTTCCATCTCCTCTACTGAGTTTGTTCAGCTGTTCAGTTTCTCTTCCATACTAAAATTAAAACAAACATATATATATACACACACACACACACAAACACGAAACATTACTTCATTTCCGTCAAAACAGTATTAAATGCCATTTAATTATCTAGTTTATGTGAAACTAGCAATCTGCCACAGCTTCAAAAAATATACTATTCTTGGGCTTCCCTGGTGGCGCAGTGGTTGAGAGTCCGCCTGCCGAGGCAGGGGACGTGGGTTCGTGCCCCGGCCCGGGAAGATCCCACATGCCGCGGAGCGACTGGGGCCGTGAGCCATGGCCGCTGAGCCTGCGCGTCCGGAGCCTGTGCTCCGCAACGGGAGAGGCCACAACAGTGAGAGGCCTGCGTACCGCAAAAAAAAAAAAAAAAAAAATATATATATATATTCTCCATTTCCAATCACTTAAGGTGGATAAAGAATGCTTGCTGGGCAGAGAATCACAGTCACCATGACCCATAAATAAGCTATAGATCAGCTTCTTATACTTTCTATACGCCTTTTATGATACCAAGAATACTGTTCAACCCATAGTACAAAAAAGAAATACAAGAGACTTTGGATGTAAAAGAGAATAAACGAGAGAAAACACTATCTTTTATATATCCATGGTGCTAGCCATGGAATATTATACACAATTCTGATTCCATCACTTTAGGAAAAACATAATGGGCTCTACGGTCTGGAATGACAAAGACTCAGAGGGGATACATTAAAAGCTACAGGGGATCATGAGTGTGTTCCTAAACTTTGGAAGACAGCTTTGAAGCTTAAGAGAACGCTAAATTTCAAATAGAAAAAAGTAACATCTAAACCTGTGTAACTTAATAGTTCAGGAAGAGGAATAAAGTAAAAATATAAAGAGGTTTGGTAAGGATTTAAATGAAGAAATGGGTCATAACCTCCTAATCTATTATAGTAGAGAGTCCACAGAGTAATATATGTAACCTACTAAGATAGGTATGATAATCACCTCTACACTTTCAAAACTGGCTCACTTCAAACACCAAAGAGCAGAGTAACTAACACAAACGCTGTCTGTTAACCAAAATCTTTATCTGATGAAATTATTCATATACATATACATAGGCAGCCACATATAGAAAGACTATGATTTTCATACAAAATTAACATATACAAATCATTAGATTGAATATCATGTTCAATCTTCATCAAGAGCCCCTTGAATGAAGCATAGTTAGTGTATGAATGGCATACAGTAACTGAACTGAATAAGAAGTAGCAGATAAAATCAATAAAGTCACTAAAGTCTAGAAGTACTTCTTGGCATCTAGGAAAAACAAATAACATTTTCCAAACTGTTAGTTGGCACTTACAGGTCCAGCTTTAGGAGTGTAACTTTTCTTTTACCATCTCTACCTGTTTCACTCATTTGTTGTGGTTTTTAACTTAGAAATGACATTGCCACATGGAATCCAGCATTCAAACTTTAATAGCTAATCCTGCATTGTCTCAGTTGAAGGCAAGTTGCCATCAGAAAGATGTACCTTCATCAGTTCCGGATGCATGCTCCGTTCCAAGCTGGCCATGATGTTCTCGGCTTTTCCTTGGCTGCTAGTTTCATCATCTGCGAATTCATTAAAAGCAGATGTTCTAAACCATGCAGACCATTACTAATCACCTAAGCGGAATATCCTAACTATCTCCCTCTCCCACCCCAACCTCTCCTACTAGATTTATTGCAAAGAATTTTGATTATGAAAGCACAGGGAAAACTCTAATGGGCTTTTGAAAATCTGCCATGAATTCCCTATCTGTTTCAGTCTGGTTATATTTCATATGTCAGAGCCCATGTAGCATATCAACTCTTAAAAAAAAAGAAAGAAAGAAAAGAAAACCCTATCAACCTCCATAGTCACTTTTAATGAAGAAGTAGGTCACCTTCAAGATTAAGAGTTCTATATTCACTCTACACAAAGGACATTCCCATGGATTAAAGACAAGGGCTTTACCTCAATAATGAATCATTTAAAAATTCTGACCTTGTGCTGCCTCTACCGTCTCCTTTTTCTCTTGCACTAAACTGTCGGTATTGATCTGAATAATCTTTTTCAAAGTTATCAACCATTCCTCCATTTCCTGCTCAGTTTCAGCAGCCAGATAATGGCTATACTTATCTAACATCTTGAGTTCGAAAGCATGACGGCGCATTTTGGGGCACTGGAGGGGGGAAAAAAAAAGACGTGTTCAGTTAGTTTAGTTGCCCTTTTAATATTAGATTTCATTAGTTTATTTACTTTTACCTCAGCTCAGCACATATGTACGTCAATACTTCCATGAAAGAACTGCTTCTTTCAACAAGGAATAGAAATTCCAAGACGACGAATGACCATGTCAAGCATCTTATTTATCCCCCTCAGTACTGAGCACAGCAGTATATGCACAAAGTTGGCATAAAATACTACACGTTGAGTGAGTATTATCATTTAAGGCCTTCTGACATCCTCCACGTTTGGATAATCAAACTACCACCATAAAAATAAGCAAATGTTTTACTATTTCCACCCTGCTTTAAGTTTTCCTGGCATATTCACAGATTTTCAAAATCAGCCCCTAAAAACAAGCTTAAATGTGACCTGAAATAAACCTGGTACTTGCTTTATATCACATCATAAAATGCAATATCACTGTCTGATTCACTCTGCCATGCAGAATATGAAATGCATCACAGTAGCATAAAAGAAGACTGTAGTTGGTTCATATTAGATTGTGGCTCTCCATAAAAATGATGGAAATGGCCCAGGCTGAATGCTAGCATACAAGGAAAATAGAAGCCTCTTCCTTTCCTCAAACATGATGACACCTCTTTTATATTACCACCTTCTCTGTCATGACGAAAGAAATGACACACTCTCCCCCGCTCCCAAATACCTCAGCATTAATTTCAAGAAAGGCTCATGAATCAGTAATTTTCCAGTGCCTGGTCATCATTCAAGAAGGAACCAAGGAAAGTTCCTCCTCATCTTCAAAGCATAGTAAAGAATGAAATGAAACTGCTGTAGCAAGTCATAAAGATTTATATATTTGAAAATATTCGGGAGAAGGGAATCGTAAATAGAGGAGCACCAGAAAAGGAGGTCAGTCCGGACTAGAGCTAATTGAGAAAATCTGGGAATTGTATGTGCCTTCTTTCAGTAGATAAGAAAGCTGTCACATTTATATATATATAAAAGAAGGCAACTTCTATTCACATAGATCTTTATATCTCTTATATTTTATGTTTTAAAGTGTGTCTTCACTTGCTCCTCATGACAATCTCATTTGATAAAGCGAGTAGATATTATTAATCCCACTTTACAGTTCTGAAAACTAAGATTCAGGTAGGCTGAGGGTGTTGAAGCAACATCTCCTGCCTTCCACTCAATGCAGTGCTCCTTCTTGTCGACCAGGCCACCCCGGCTCTGTAGTAATGGCTCCTATCACACGGTCAATCAACTTCCTATTTAATCATCTCTCTGCCCTCTGCTTCCCACCCCATCCACGCTAACCCTAATGTCCCTGCCTCCTCAAGTAACTCAAATCAGCAAACATTTGGTAAGCCCCTACTGTATGTGCAACTCTGCTAATCACTATAAGGGACCCAGACATGAATATGACATGGTCGCTGTAATCCAAAAAGGAACGCACAGAGCTAAGTACAGTGGTAGCTCAGGGGAGGTGGAGCTCAATTCCATGAGGGTGAAGAAGAACACAAAAAATGTTTCATGCCACAAGTCCCATTTGAGCCAAGTCTTAACAGATAAGATTCAAACAGGAACAGAAGGGGAAGTATATGCCAAGCAGAGAAGCAAATGTAAGAAAGGCACACAGGCGTGAAACTCAGTGGAGTGCTTAGCCTGGCGTGACTAGAGCACAGAATGTGTATGGGGATGCAGGGGGATGGGGTTAGTAAGGTCAAATCGCTGCGGGCCTGCAATGCCCTGGTAAGAGATTTCGAGCTCACTCTGCAAGACAATAAATCAACAGCCAAAAGGGTTTTTGTTTTTGTTTTTTTAACGTCTTTACTGGAGTATAATTGCTTTGCAATGGTGTGTTAGCTTCTGCTTTATAACAAAGTGAATCAGTTATACATATACATATGTTTCCATATCTCTTCCCTCTTGCGTCTCCCTCCCACCCACCCTACCTATCCCAGTGAAGGACCCCATCTCCGTCTTAGGAAGCCGGATGACACATCAGAAGGCAGGAAGGTGAGACTCTAGGCAAGACAAGATAAAAGGGGGAACCAGAGGAAGACAGTGAGAATGGAAAGAAGGTAAGAGATTCAAGAGGCACCCTGCAGCAGACTCCAAAGGACTGGGTAAAAACTTGAATAGTGGCACAGAGGGAGAGTGGGAACTCTGAAGAGGATTCTGAATTGCTAGTATGAACGTTTTGGTGGATGCAGATGTCATTAACCAAGGCAGAAAAAGCCTGAGGTTCTTAAAAGTTGATCGATAACCCTACCTGGACAACATCAATGCAGGCGTCCAAGTAGATGCAACCTTTAGATTCTTTTGAATTTTTCTCATCTTTATAGGAATTGAGAATATACGAACCATCGGGAAGCTGAGTTAAGTAAAAATACCGTCTCTTGAACACCTATGGGGGAAAAAACAGCAGTGACACATTTGTTATGTAAACATTGCATTTGAACAAGAAACCTTGAAGGGCTTGCCACACGCATTATATCTGGACAATCTTCAGACAACTTGGGGAAGTCATTAGGAATTACCATTATCTTGATTTTGTTTTAAGATGGAGAGCTTCAAGTCAAGTGGTTTACTCTCAGTCAAGTATCTGGAGAAGTTTTAACACTTTAAAGTTCACAAAGCAGTTTTGTATCTGAATCACTACATTTCGCTACAGCATCCTTCTCCTGTTTAATTGCAAACCATGACTGGATTCTTATAATCTCGTTCACCTCCCCACAAATCTAAGGGTGTGTACACACACACACACACACACACACACACACACACACACACACACACACACACACACCCTCTATCATATAGTTACTTATCACCTGCACATCTTATTGCACTCACCTATGCTGCTCCAGTGTCCCCACTGCCGAGAGTCCAGCTTATAACACACTCACAGGGAAATACTGAGAGCAGTGAGATGCCACCAGTTGCTGTTCAGCGCCCTGTATGCTGAGATTTGAGTCAAAAGGCCCAATGTGATTGGGCCACGCGTTTGAAATTAGGGATTCACAACAGTTAAGGAGTAGCCTGTTGCTACAACTCACAGCGAAGCCCACAGCAATGGGGAAAAGGAGGAAAAGACAGCCTGATTCATTTATTCTGCCCCTCTACTCTCCCTTAAAAGACTCTTGGACCTGATGAAGGAAGTGGAAAAAGGGTTAGGGTTAGGATTCAGAGCTCTCTGATGAATCTATGCTTCTTTCAGTAAGCCACAGACTGCACGCTGTGTTCAGCATTTGTTATAGTAAAATTCCCCTGGTTAAGAGATCTAAAATCATTTCAGGACGGGAATGGGAAGACAGACTAGGAAATAGCCTCTTGGTGATCATATTGAAGAAACGCATTCCTATGCATCTTGTCTTACTCACAGAAGTCAGCTTTAAGACCTAAGCTGGCCATTTTCAATCACCCATCTGATAATCCAGTACGATCTCTGACTATTTTAAGAACTTTAATTATGGAAAGAGTATTATTTGGCAAGATTATTCTTGAAAACTACTTAACTCCTGGCAAAGTATCTAAGATAGCAACAATTCATTTCTCCATGGCATGAGAGTAAGCAAAATATAGAAGTAGGTTAAGGGGCATTTCTTTTAAGGAAAACCAGTAAAAAGAAATCATACGCTTGTAGTTATTTTTGACTTGTTCAAATATCACTGATCTTAGAATGAATGACAAAAATATACCAGTGTGAGGAACACCCTAACAGGTTAGACTGGTAAATGCTTACTGCTTCTGTTTCAGGGAGGGGCCCTGTGGGCTACATGGCATCAACAGAAAGAAGTCCAAGTAGAAAATACCACTTTGTTTTTCAATGCCAATCAGGTAAACATTACTGCATCAGTATACAAAGGCACAGAAAGTGTGTGTGTGTGTGTGTGTGTGTGTGTGTGTGAGATCTCATTTTACCCACATTTAAGTTTACTGCAACTATAATGAAGAAATCTAGATTCATATATAAGGAAAATGTTAATCATAACGGTGATCATATATATGTGTATAAATATATATATATTTATGTTTGCTTATTTTCATGACAGTGGTTCATAGCTGTTATTAAACTGATGGAACCAGAAGACCTAAAACGACATAATGAGCTGATTTCAAATGAACAAAACACCACTTTTTAGAAGTTATCACAATACTTATGTATGACAAAAATTAAAATACATTTTCCAGGCAAAAGTTAACATAAAAAAAATTACAACCAGATTAGAATCTGAACCATGATCAAATCTAAAACTCAAAGTTCATAGATTCAGTGGTACAGTCTGTAGACTCCATTGGCACAGTCCTTAGCCAGCAACAGAGGAAGGGAAAACAGAGCAAAACATCTGTGGCACACAGTCAAATTATAGCCTGCAACATTTTTTTATGTACAGCTCCCTCACCAAGCAAAGATGTTTTGTGGCAGCCGCCATTGCCAATATTAGCAAAGCACGATCATCACAATAGAGATGGAAAGGGATCTGAAATTACAGTAAATCACTTCCTGTAACACTGCAATTATGTCTAAATGTGACACTGAGGTAAGGCAGTTCGTGAATCTGGGGAGAGAGCAGATGCCTGAAAGTCATACGATCTTGATTCTCACCCAGCATTCCTGCTCCCCAGCAGCGAAACCGTCCTCAAGACTCGGCTTCTCTCTTTCCTCACTTGTAAAATGGTGGGATCAGATCAAATGATCTGTAAGATCCTCTTTTTTTTTCATGATCTACAAATAATTTTATTGAAAATGAACAAATAACACAGCAGCCTTCCCAGCTGGGGCCCACACTCCCCAAGCGATTTCCTACAGGCTTAAAGCACTCAGTTTTCACAGTAAGGACATTTTTTAAAAAATCATTTCTAGAGACAGCAGACTCTGCCCCAACGACAGATCTGTAAGATCTCGAAGACGTCTTCTCATTCTAATATTCTATGATATATGTTGGGTTTCCACTTCCGGGAAGCTTTTAAGGTACTTTTCAAAGAAGAAAGGGGTATCCTAAATCTCATATGGAACCAAAAAGGGAAGTCAGAAACAGGGCTTTTTTTAATGTTGCTATTTAGGGTACCGGTCTACGTTGTTTTTTTCCATTTCGAAAAGAAGACAACTGTTAAAATGATGACTGTATAGAACAGTGGTAATTACCCTATATCATACCTTTCATCTGAAGGCCTCAAGTCCTTTGTAACCAAGAGCTAATTCTTTTAATGTCACTTGACGATAAGCGTTATTATCCACATTTTACCTAACAGCAAACTGAGGGACCAAGACCTCACTCAAGTTCACACAGACAAGTCGATGGCAGAACTGGAATCAGAATCACAGGACAATGACAAAGAGAATCTTGCCCAAACCTTCCAATGGCTTCCCATCAAGGTTAGAATAAGACCCCAAATCCTTCCCCCATAGCCTGGGATGATGTGCTGGCTCTGACCTTGGATTATCTCTTGGATTTTATTTCTAATTATGCTGCTCCAGCTGTACTGGCTCACCTGCTGTTCCTCAAACAAAAAACCTTCTTCAGGCCTTTGCACGTCATGTCCCCTTGGCCTGGAAGCCTCTTGCCCCACATATCCACAGCTTCTTTCAGGTCTTCACTTGAATTTTACCTCCTCCGAGAGGCCTTCTATGACTACCTGCCCTCATGGCGGCACCTTATTTTAGCTTTTTCATAGAACGATCACTATTCAAATATATCTTATTCATCTATCTATTTATTTATTTGCTGTCTGCCTCTTTTAAACTGTTAAGGTCCAAGTCTCATCCACTGCTGTAGCCCCAGTACCTGTAACAGCGCCTGGAAAGCAATAAAATTTTGCAAATGAACGAGGAATGAATGAATAATTCATTCTCCAGTACAGATTCTCCAGCGGTTTCATCGAATAGAAGCGTGTTTCTCTGTAACGCCCATATTCTTTTTCCTCCTCCGCACCTTTATTATTTTTCCTAGATGGTGAACACAGCTGAAAATTCCCCACCGTACTCAGTGAGAGGCATGGTTCCTAATGAGTGGCCCACTCAGACCACCCAGAAGAATAAAATAGAGAGTTAGCCAAAGGAGATAATTCTCTGGGAACAGGTCCTGCCAAGTCTCCTGAAGGCCCTGAGCTGTCTGGATGACAACCTTTTGAACACTTACCATATGACCCTTTCTGGAGCAGGAACAAAGGCCTTTTGTCACTCGGTTGAATCAAAGATGGAAGGCCAGAAAGTTCGAGCACCTAGCATCCTCAAAATGAGGACAGCCTTTTATCATTTTATATAACAAATCTCAAAGGTGTTTACCTACGTGTGTTCCCTAGAGGGTAATTATTTACTGCTAAATTCTATGAACCAGGAGCCCTGAGAAAGGATGGTCTGAAGGCTTTGGCCAAGTAGGTGGGCCAGGAGCAATGTAGAAATGGGGCGGGGGAAACTTACTTGACTCATGTCTCTGATGGAACAGGAAAAAAGAGGCAGCGAGGAAAAGGAGAAAGCCGGAGACACACTGGGTCTCAGAGCTGTTCGAAGCGAAGATGAAAGAAACAGTGGGGAAGAAAACCCCACGACTTATCAGACAATTGAACTGCAGTTAATTATACCAGAATGTCAGCAACGTCATCCTGCCGAATACCCCTACCAGTAGGTTGGCAACCTGATATATCACTCATCGCTCTCCACTGTATCATATTACAGTCCTACCAAGTTTTAATATATTATATAGGTCTACTGTCTGGGAGACTGGTTAAAACTCAAATAGCTTTTCTTTGATAATTCTACCATATCTAGGCACTGGAGATGTTTTAACTATTTAGTTTGAAGCAAAGTCTAAAAGGAGGGGTCTACAATCCACCCTTCTCATTAGAGACAAATTATCTTTCTTAGAGCATGTCATGGCCCTGCTCAAATTTTCAATGACCCTCAGTTACCCACGTGGTAAGGCTCCCGTGCGTGATCTGGTATTCAAGGTGCTCTCACGGTCCTACTAATAATACAAAATAATAACAATCTGTGACATGTGGGGAGTGCCTACTACATTACAGTTTCTGGCTAAGTGCTTTTCTCATATTACATCAGTGAATCCTCATAATGGCCTCGTGTGGTAATTACTGTTATCATCTCCATGTTACAGAGGAGAAACTGAGGCACAGGGTAATACCAAAGGACCAAATCGACTCCATCTCCCAAGACTACCCAACTTCACCTAACACACTTGTCCTGTACACACTGCCTGCTACACTCACCTCCTTTCTGATTCCCTTCCTTGGAGGCCCCACCTCCTTCAAGAAGCCTTCTCTGACCCCAGATCACAGATCTGGACTCATATAGCACGGGGTCTCTGTACCACCTTGAAACAATACATTATTATTGTGTGTCTCATCTCCCCAAACAGGTTTAAACTCTACGTGTTACACCTCTCTCTC